TTTGTACGATTTCTTTCCTTTTTTATGAGAATTCGACCTGCATTATATATACAACCTAGGGGACTCATCCAAGGAAACTTTTGGAGGTATTGAAACACCTTTGGATGCTAGTAAGAATTACAAAACAAGCAAAGTTTACAAGTCACACGACTTGTGTGGCCTGTATTGGCATATCGCATATTGTTGTTTTTGTATGATTTCTTTTCATTTTTTATGGGAATTCGACCTATATTATATATAGAACCTAAGGGACTCATTCAAGGCAACCTTTGGAGGTATTGAAGTGTTAGTGTTATATACTGGAAGCTTGACTTTGGATTATATTATACTTTTACCTTTTATTAATAAAAACATGTTAGATTAAACAAGTTCTACGTTCGGTTGTTTTGCAATTAGATAGTGTGGGTCATCATCGGGCGAACCGAAGATCATTCTTTCAGTTACTTGCAAAACAAGAATTATGGTTCACAACCTAGATAAACACGAACACCCCATCATAACGGTTGTAGTGTCAACGGTATAGTTTTCTTGATTGATTAGTTGCACTAGTATATTTATGTATTGAACATGATCCCAGAGAGGAGCAGTTCACTTTATATTGATCGTTGTAAACTAACTAGGCCTCTGTTAATTACTGCGTTCTCTTACTCGTGTTGATATCCGGATCGGCCTAGTCGGAAATTATCGGACCAGTCGAGGAAACCGGGTAGAGCCGGACTCTGTGTCGGGGCCGAGTCGCGGAGTAACAAGAATTGTCGAGCTGGGCCGAGAAATTAAATGACCAGGACCACCGAGGGGGACATATTTCGAGCCCGGCACCTGGCTCAGTGGTGCCGGTCTCATTAGGTGCCAGTCTCATTAGGTGTCGGTCTCATTAGGTGCCGGTTTGAAAGAAGAATACTGAGCGCTCCGTATACCCGTTCAAAAGAAGTGCCGACCTGAAGATCCGGGGCGACCATCTCGAAGGCAAGTGCAGGTTCGATAGTATTAAAATATCCCCACTTGGGAGGTCATCATTGGATGATGGGACGGGTTGTCATAGCCTGCCACCCTACGAACGAGCCTAACCTAAAAGTCTGACAGCATTAAATGCCCCCATGCTTGCATTTAATGTCTGACAGGCAATGATTGAAGAAACCTCAAATCGCATTAAATAACTGTCAAGGAGGCGCCGAACTGCTCTACGGGATTACTGTGCGACAAGACGGGTAAACAATGCCACATTTAAGGATACTATAAATAGCAGCCCACTTCATTTATTTTGGGCTGACTTTGGTGTGTTTTTCTGTGGGTGGTTAGCCTCTTGGGACCGCGGGTTTGGGAGGTTAGGCCTTGTTAGTGCTTTACTGCAGTTTCATGCTTGGTGCTCTGAATCAGGTCTTAGTCTGTTGAGTGACGACTTTGGGTGGTTAGTGTCGTGGCGGCTTGGTGTTGATCGTCAGCTGTAGAGGAAGGCTTTAGTTTAGTACTTATGTTTAGGTTTGTTTAGGGTTCATTTGTGTTAGCATGTGAGTGTTTTGTTGGTGTATTTGTGTTGTTTTGTTTTGTTTTCTCTTCTTTTAGGAGCATGCTATTTTTCTGTGGGGAGCTTATGTTGTTCCACTTGGGGAGCTTGTGTATTCTCCTGCTAGGAAACTTTTTTTTTT